CAGTCTCCTGCCTCAGCCTCCCAAGTAGCTGGGACCACAGGCGCCCGCCACAGCACCCGGCTATTTTTTGGTTGCAGCCGTCATTGTTGTTTGGCGGGCCTGGGCTGGATTCGAGCCCGCCACCTTGGGTGTATGTGGCTGGTGCCTTAGCCACTTGAGCCACAGGCTCTGAGCCCACATTTAACTTTTTAAATAATTTGAAACATACAGAAAAGTTGCAAGAATAGTATATACAAAGGATTCTTAAAACTCTTCTGAATTTCACCACTTACTGATTGACACATTTCCTTTATCTCTGTACATATTGCTATGTTTCTGAGCCATTTGAAAGTAGTTGGAAGCATACCCTTTACTCCTAAATAATTCAGCACCTGTTTTAGAAGAACAAGGACGTTAACTTTTCTAACCGTACATAATTGGCAAAATCAGGAAGCTTAACAGTGATACAGGGCTATTTTCTAATCCACAGACATTCAAATTTTGCTGTTTGTCTCATTCATTATTATTTATAGAAATTTCTCTCTCTCTCTCTCTCTTTTTTTTTTGGAGACAGAGTCTCACTCTTGTCCTGAGTAGAATGCCATGGCATCATAGCTCACAGCAACTCAAACTCATGGTCTCAAGTGATCCTCTTGTCTGAGTCTCCCGAGTAACTGGGACTACAGGTACCCACTACTACGCCCAGCTAATTTTTCTATTTTTAATAGAGATCGGGTCTTCTCCTTCTTGCTCAGGCCGATCCCAAATTCCTGAGCTCAAGCAATACCGCCTTAGCCTCCCAGAGTGCTAGGATTATAGGCGTGAGCCACCAGGCTTGGCAGCAATTTCTTACTTTACGATACTCCAGATGTGGTGCGTGTAGTTGTCATATCTCTTTAGCCTTTGTTAGGAACTTTCCACAGTTTTTCTTTAGCTTTGATGACGTTGACATTTTTGAAGAGTATGGGTTTTCTGTTTTGTTGACTGTCCTGCAGTTTAGGTTTGTCTGGTGTTTCCTCACGATTGAGGTTATGTTTTCTTAGCAGGAATATGGCAAAAGTAATGGTTTAGCCTATTATTGATGATGTTAACTTTTAGTTAGTTACTTGGCTAAAATGTTGTCTGCCAGTCTTAGCATCTGTTGATAATTCTTGCCTGAGAAATGATTACTTTGGTGCAAAATGGTGATTTTCTAATTCCATTGTACCTTCTACATTGTTAGAATTCTTCTATAAGGAAGAACATTGCCTTCTTGCTTATTTATTTATGGATTCATGGGTCCTTATTTAGTAGGTTATAATCTGTTGCTACTTGTATTTACTTTTATGTTCAAGTTGTCTCATCTTTGTAAAGTGGGAGCCCATTCAGTCTGGCTCCTGTTTATATGTATTTATGATGTCATAAAGTCAAAATGGCTAATCTTAAATCCCTACTCTTAAAATTTTAAAAATCTGTTCTGTAGCTAACCATTAATATATTTAGAAAGAAGATATACTTCCAAAAACATGTTTTTAAACATAAACTTAAGAAGTTTATTAAAAAGATTACTTTAAACTATTAATACAATCTGAATATAGTTAGCACTACTAAACTGTTCACTTAAAAGTGGTTAAGATGATAAGTTTTATATGTGCTTTGCCACAGTTTTTTAACAAAGAAAAAGATTATCTTAAATGATTAGAATGTTAACTAATTCTTTGACTTGTATCTTTTATCTAAGTTCTATTTTCAGTTTTACCTGATTTGTGCTATTGAGCTAAGTTCTTCATTGTGAAGGGAGCCATTCTCAAAGTCATCTGTTAACACAGATAGTTTTTATATCTACAAGAAAATGGGCAGGCATTTGTAATTAGTTGACGTTCTTGCAGGGATATTAATCTGAATTATTATCCTACTAATTTGCTTTGAAATTTGTTGACTAGTAAGATGCCAACAATATTTTATGTGGAGAGTGAAGCAACACTTTCAAGGTCATTTGAATGTTATCATTAGTCTGTTTATTGCCAGACAGGAAAGAATCAGTATTCAGAAGCTGCGATATGAGGGAACATGACACTTCAGAGGCTACTGCCTACCATTAATGAATGAGATTGAACTCTAACTTGCATGCAAATTTTAATTTCTTTTGAAAGAAGAAAGAACCAGTTTTGGACAATTTTGGCTCTTTCTATAAGAAAATTTATTTCATGAAGTAAATTCAGTAAAATTATGCCTGCCAATGTATCTACTAATAGTCTCATCTGTTTTTAAAGTGAAGCAAATTGACAATTTTTACTATTATAATCAGTGTCAGATTTTTAGTCATGAGTAAAAACTGCTGCATTTTGTTACTAGAGAGGTTTAAGTAGTTTAAGTACAGAAATGCAATATGTATTTTATTATTACGAATACAAATGTACGTTAAGGATAGGGGACTTTATATATTGTTTATCCTTTTGAGTAAGACTTGGAAAGATTTTATAGTTTATTCCTGCCTTTTTTAATTTTTTTGAGTTAAGCAAAAAGGAGTTATTTAAGTGCAGCAAACCAGTTGTAGAAAGTCATGTATCTCATGATCTTTCTTGTAAGTGGTTGCTCAAAAATGTGTACACAAGGATGTACGGAGTGGAATGATAGAAGATGAAGGTTGAGGGAGTGGAAAGTGGGTGGATGACAGGAAATTAGTTAAGGGCGGCGCCTGTGGCTCAGAGGAGTAGGG